AAATAACAATATTTTTTGGTATCATCCAATCCTTTAACTGTTCTAGAGATAATGATATACTATGACCTTTATACTGTCTTTGAAATTCTGATTTTTTCCCCCAGAATTTATCATGTTGATGATACTCCTTCTGGATCAGTGGATGGGGTGCTTGATTATAGTAAAGCCATTCAAGTAGGTGATTTTATTATTGCCAGCAAATGTTAATATCTGGATTTGGAAATACTGTAATTTCATTTTGAGACCTGAAAAAGAATTTGTTTCTAGTGATTGCATATTATTTTAGTAATTCTTTAAAACTTTTTCTATTCTGAAAATCTTTTTCTAGATTTGCTATTTTGTTTCTTCTTTTGATTTTTAAAAAACATTTTATTTTGAAATAATCATAGGCTCGCAGGAAGTTGCAAAAGTAGCACATAGAACCTCTTTACCCAGTTAACATGGTGACACGTTATATGACTGTAGTGTAATATCAAAATCACAAAATTGACATGGTAACGATACTGTCAAACACGACCTGATTCCTTATTGTTTTCACTAGTTTTTACATGTACGTGTGCGTATGTAGTTTTATGTGATTTTATCCCCATAAAGGAACTTGCCTGGTGCTACTTATTCATGGTGGTACTTTTTTTTTTTCATAGACACGTTATATGACTGTAGTGTAATATCAAAATCAGAAAATTGACATGGTAACGATACTGTCAAACATGACCTGATTCCTTTTTTTTTTTTTCATTCCCACTCTGCAGCCCCATCCCTGTTCCCTGGCAAATTAATCTGTTTCTACCTCTAAAGTTTTGTCACTCCGAGAATGTTTTTATGAATGCCCTTTTGAGGTTGGCTTCTTTTCACTAAGCATAGGCTCTTGAGATCCATCCGGGTAGTAGCCTGGTCCTCCTACCATCTTTTCATCTCTTACGACTAAGCTCAGGCTTTTGCCTCGTGCCCATTGCTGTAGCAGTGAGATGCTCCTTCCTCTGTGTTCTCATAACTCCTGCGTGTACCTCTACTTTTATCATACTGTACTGTAGGTGGGTGTTCTGTCCACTCTCTTCCCCAGGAGTCTTTTGAGTAATCCCTGAGGGTAAAGATTCATCCGAGTCTCTCTAGTGCTTAGTTCAGTGCCTGGCAAATAGTATGTGCTCAATAAAGTAAGTGTTTGTTAAGTTAATACATGTATCGTTCAAGTATTCTTAGTAAATTGCATACTACCTTATATCAGATTAGTTATTCAGTAAATATTTGTTTAATGAGTAACAATTGATTTATTTTAGGGCACAAGGGATCCAATTTGTGCCATAACTGCATCTGATAAAACATTGATTGTGGTAAGTTGTGAAAGAAATTTATTTTATGAATAATAATTTTTTGAATTGTAAAAATAGAATAAAGCAATATATTTTGGATTTGACTATCATCTCACAAGCACTCAAGTGTCACTAAGTCCAACATAAGAAATAAGAACGTTTTAAAGATTGCCTCACAAATTGTTAACCATTTGTAAAAAGAGCTGTTTATGAAAGTAGTGGAATGGGGGCCAGTTGGGGAGAGCGGCAGTGGGTCAAATGAGCCCTCTGGAGAGCTGGCAGAGTGGCACAGATTGGATGGTGCTGGTAGGACTTAGGAAGTGTCCCTGTCCTGTGGCCCGCTATTTTATATTGGACCAAGTGTTCTGGCTCAGCTACTTCCATAAGACTTGGAATGAAGAGGTGGTGTGTTTGCTAGGCAGTAAAATAAAGAAGTACATGGCAAATTTTTGCTGAATTTTTCAAATAAAATCAATGTTATAGTGTTTTTTCTTGAGTTCTGGTATTTGAAACTATTAATTTTAGAGAGAAATGTTTCATATAGTAATGCTGATAGAGTCATTGAATTTGAATTATGTAAACAGAGCCTTAGTAGTGTATATTTCCAGTTCTAGTTAAGTTCTTTAGCCATTAGCTAATTTAAGGTGAAAAAATCTTAAGAACATAGTATTCATTTTTCCTCACCAAATGAACTGGGTGTATGTTTTAAGCTGTTTGTCTTAGGTCTGTGGAACCTTGTTTTCTTTTGAGATTCTTTGCTGTGTGGCAGGGTTTTTGTTGTTGATGTGTTTCTGACATTTGCAAAAAAAAAAGCAAAAACAAAAAATACATGCAACTTGGATCATTCAGAAAAATTGACTTAATTCCTAAATGGCAGTCTACCTATAAGAAATGCTCTCAAATAGTTTTCATACCAGCCAAAAGTTTGAATGGAGATGTCCTCTGCATTTAAAACTGCTTTCCATTGCTGAAATGTTAACAATTTTTAGAACTATAACTTTTTCAAACTTTTTAAGCCACAGGACTCTCTTTTTCAAAAACAGTATCTTTTTTTTGTACCTCAATATATTAAAAAATTTTAAAGCCCATACATTAAAAAATATCCTCCCCCCTTACTGCCTGCCTCTCTCTCCCCAGCCTTTCTGAAGGGTCCCTCTTGAGAATCATGCCCCAACGCAGTGCTGCCGGTAGAGAGGGGAGAGGGAGCCTCCGCTGGCTGAGCGGAGCTGTTCACTGTGTCCACTTGCCACGGCTGCAGGCGCGGAAGGCTTCAGAAACCACAGCTCTCTCTTGTCTGTTTTACTGTGATCCGTCAGCCTTAAGGCTTGTACAGAGTTGCATAGAAACATATTTTACTTTGTTTTAGACACATTTAAACTAATACCGCTTTCTGATCTTCTCCCTTTGCCACAAACTCGTATCAGATAGATGGCTATAGGATAAAAAAAGTAGTCTTTCGGGAGCAGCTGTTTTATATGGTGATCTTATATTGATTTTTCATATGTATGAATTTAATTCAGTGAGTGCTTTATATTTTAGCTTTTAACATACCCCGAATGTTAACCTAGACAGCAACTATAAATAACCCTAGGTATTTCTTCCTGGGGCTGTAAGAATGTGTGTATTATTAAAGATCTATGTTTCTGACTTCTTTTTTGAATGTTACGTGAAAAAAAATTTGATCACCTTCTGCCACTTTTAAAAGGTTTTAATTAAGACAGGAGATAAATCCAGACTCAGTCACATGACTCAGTATCAGAATTGCGAATTTGCTACGACACCATCACTGGGCTTTTGAAGCAAATGTATGAACATATAGAGACTTGCAGTTGTAATTTAATATTATTATGGTAAATTTGCTTTATTAATCAAAAGTAATTTCCACAGGGGCGCGAATCTGGCACCATTCAGAGGTACAGCCTTCCTAATGTTGGTTTGATCCAGAAATATTCCCTTAATTATCGAGCCTACCAGTTATCCTTGAATTGCAACTCTAGGTAGGTCTGTAAACTCTTCTCACAGAGATGTTAGATTTAGAAGTTGTCAACTGGGATTGTTGGATTTACGTAATAAATGCAAAGATGTGTGTTTGTTTTAAACGTGTCTTATAGGTCAGTGTAGTTTTACTATACTGTATTTCTATTTAAATATTTATGTTTACTATACCGTATTTGACTTAGAGATCACTTCTAACTGAGCAAAATATAGATTCTAATATAATCTTTTAAGTTATTCGCATACCAGTTGCTTTAATCCCCTTGGATACTTTTTCCTCACAAGGAAGAAAAATGGAGAGTAGTCTGTGTCTTTTATCAAATTTATAAAAATTTGTTTACAGGTAGTTATTTATTTAAAACCATTTCTGTCTTCATTCCAAATTCTGATGAGCCGATTTTGAAGTAGAATGGCTAGAGGTAACTGTATTCATGATTTTGCTGATAGTCATTTCACAGTTTTCCCCTTTCTCCAATTTCCTTATTTGTAGTCGTCTCGCTATCATCGACATCTCAGGAGTCCTGACTTTCTTTGACTTGGATGCTCGGGTGACAGACAGCACAGGACAGCAAGTCACTGGCGAGTTGTTAAAACTGGAGCGCAAAGATGTCTGGGATATGAAATGGGCCAAAGATAACCCTGATTTGTTTGCAATGATGGAGAAGACAAGAATGTATGTTTTCAGAAACTTGGATCCTGAGGTAAAAACAAGAAATGAGCATTAACAGTACATGAATAATGAGCCAGATAGCAAAACCTGGATATTTCCCCTTTGTTTCTTCAAGAGGTTTATTGATGTAGGCTGCATGAATTTGAAAAAAAAATAGAAAAATTTCTGTACAGTTTAAAAACATTTGGTCTTAACTGGGAATAATATTCGTTCTTTAAATATCCTCTACTTTCTCTGAAAGGTACTTCCTAAACATTTTATCTGTTCTTAAAAGGTAGAACCATGATCACTCACGATATAGTCTTTATTTTTTTCTCTGTCAAAGTTAAAAGAAAATCAGTAGTCTTATTTACCAAAATTGCTTAAAACAACCTAACCAAAAAAAATTGATCTTTCAAATTGCCTTCTCCTTTCATTCTTTTTTGCCCATCTACCCACCTTCTTTTGTGCTTACCTTATTTTATTTTACATGTGCTCTGTCACCCATTAATGCATGTTCTCTTTCACCCTGATAATCTTACGAAGATGCACGTGTGGACTGTGATTAATCTAGTCTCTCTGGGGGTGTCAGAAGCCCCTTTCTTATTAATTTCGAAGTCACATTTTTTGATTTTGTACTTGGGGCTCACATGGCTCTGCATTTTCTTGTCACAGTCTGCTCTGGACGAATTGTGAACTGTTGTGTTTAGGAGACGCCAAATGATTTCAGTGGTGAATTAATCAAAACATCGTTAAGAAGATGAATCTTAATCGTAAATATTTATTCTTGATTCTTAAACAATTTCTGACTTACTAATGGATTTTCAATTTGGAATTTTTTGTATTCCCGCTGTACTTCATTAATAGAAATAATAAGAGATGAGTTAATAATTGCTTTCTGTTATTAATTGATGTTTGTTTGGACCTATAGTTTCCTTCTTGGGAAGAAATTGCATGCTTGGTTGCCTGAGCTGCTGAAGATCTTCCGTAGTAATTTATTTAGTGGTAAACTATTTGTCCCTTTAATATCCTAAATTATTTTTATATTTCTCCATTTAAGCCCTATTCAGGACCTTTGGGCTGATAAGTGATCTGAAGTAAATTGCTCTCAAAAGCTCTGCTAAAGCTTTCAGGAGTCTTAAAGGTCTTTGTCGTTGTTAGACCTTGAGTAATGAATGGTTGGAAGGAAAGGCATTCAGGGCTGCTGCATTGGACCTGTAGGCTTCTTTCAAAGGTCTGAGGGAAATTTGACCCACGCCACAAAACAGGTGTGGAAATTTGACAGGTAACCTCGAGGATGGAAGTAGAATATTTTATGAATGTCAGGGTCCTTTTTTCCATCCTTGGCCCTACTTGTACTAACTCAGAAATCATGTCTGGAGGAGTGAGAGTGTTATATCCGACTGTGTGTATAGCACACATGGAAAATCTAGTACCAAGTGAAATCTTTGCCTGGTGAAAAGTGTTCCTTAAGTATTTTTAACAGAACAGACTTCTTCTTCTTTTTTAATTAGTGAGTTTATTGTCTAACTTGGCGAGTACTTCAATTTCTATTAGATTTAGAATGACACGAATTTCTCATAACCTTACCACTGAATGGATTTCTTTATTTACCATAATGTGCTGTTCTTTTCCTTCATGAGGACACTGGCTGGCTGCAGGCCCTGCCTGGTTAGTTAGTCTGCTATTCATCCCTCTGGCTGCTTATCGACTGATTATATAAGGATGTATCCTTCAAAACAGAACTTACTGGAGCTCCTTCAGGAGATAGTGTTCCGTATTATTATTCGGAAGATACACTCTTTGACTGTTAATACTGAATATAATTTTATCCACTTGTCATCATGAATTCTAAATTCATACCTTTCTTTAAGTTGTATACCGTTCTTCAGATTATACGTGAGAAAAGGGTGCCATTTGTGTGTAAAGTTCTAATTCACTGATAAAGCACATTTTCGTTGAGAATTAGGAAATGAGAATTGAATGTTGATATTCAGCTGATTGTCATCTCCAGGGACCCTGTCAAGGTGCCGGTTCAGCTCTTTTATTCTTCTCGGATCTTCCCGCTCACCGGTACTGCCATTTCATATTCTCATTCTTTTCATACTCATATTTTTGTCAGTCAGGCTCTCATTTTTGTACACTTGCTTCTTTTCCAAACAAGGAGTTTCCAAATTTTTGAATATATACCTTTTTTTTTTTTTGAGTACATTGCCTTTATGTAATACAACCTTTTTTTGAGGAAATAAAGGGAGTTTATACATTTTTCTTATATAATTTGACTATTTTAATCAATGATTCTGCTTTTTAAAAGAAAATATACATTTAAAAACCCAATAAACACTTACAATGTGCTTACAAGAGCCTCATTCTTAAATTCAAACTAAATATGATTCAGTGTTTACCTCATATTTTCTTCTTTTTGGTGTCTTCCTATTATTATAATGTTTGCAATTTCTATCACGTATAAAGGACAGACTGTCAGAATTGTAAATTTGATGTTATTTAATGTGGATTTTGGTTACTTATATATTTCATTATGATATACATATGCCCATGTATCTCTAAAAAGTGCATTGTGGTATTCTATCCATTACCAGACAGCCTTATCCTATTCTTTTTACAGTGTTCTTAGATGTAGTAAGTATATTGGGAGTTTATTTCCTTTCGTTTATATAATATTTTTAGCTATTTTTTTCTGCTAGGGATTTAGGGCAGCTACTTTATAATATTTATTTACTGTACTTTATTTCTGGGATTAGAGACAGACATATAACAGACTCAAGTATTTACATATTGGCAAATTAAATCTTATGTAGAAAATCTATCAGGAATGTTCTGTGGCTAATGATCCAGAGGATGGATTTTTTTCGTATGGTATGAGACTTCTTTGATAGATGTATGTAGATGCAAATATAGTATTTGTCAGTTTTATTAAGAATTAAATTTAATGTCAAATCACGTGAGTTGTAAGAATTATCAAGCTGTATAAGGCATTTTTTGGATTAATTGGGAAAATGCAGACTGATATTAGACGCTGTTAGGGAATTAATATTGATTATGTAAGGTGTCATAATGCTAATGTGGCCACGTAAGAGGACATCTTTATCATTTAGAGATATGTGCTGAAATATTTAGGGTTGAAATGTCATGATGTCTATAAATTTACTTTATTTACTTTAAAATATTTCAGCCAAAATGTTGACTGAAGCATATTTAGCAAAATGTTAATAATTATTTAGATGGTGGATATATGGGTGTTAATGGCATTCTCTCTATTTTTCTGTTGGTTTGAACATTTTGCTAATAAAATTTAAAATCATGATATATTAAAGGAAAGAAATTTTTGAACAATTAAACATAACATTTGGTTTTGTCTTTAAAGGAACCCATTCAGACTTCTGGATACATTTGTAACTTTGAGGATTTAGAAATTAAATCTGTTCTTTTGGATGAGATATTGAAGGTAATTCTTAAAAAACATTATATTTCTGATACTGGCTTGACTGAGATTCAAGCCAGCCACTTGTCATTGTTTGTATATTAATAACAAAGAAGTACTGAAGAAATACTGACAATTTATTTTAGCCTGTTTCCAATTCTAGGACACTTGAGTAACTTTTTGGTTGGAGGTCTACTATCCTTCCATTTTTTCCCAGGCTTTATAAAATAATCCATTTCTGATTCCAGATATCTTTTTGAACTCCTACTTAGGCCTTCACTGAGCATCTTTTGAGAATTTTTTTTCTCTAAGAATATATTGAGAGCAGCTTTACCTTCATTTTATCCAAAAACATTTACTTTTTCTATGTACTTCAGATATTTGGAATGGAGTAGTAGATTTAAAATTTCCAGAAGTTAGTTGTTTGTAGCATGTTTATATATTTGAGTTTGATGTGTAAGTTGCATCTCTTTTATTATGCACTAGTTTTATTTTTCCTCCTATATTATGACCACCCTCCATCAGCAGATGGGCCTGACGTCACCCACAGGCACCAAGAGTGTATAAAAAGGTTATTTACTTACATAATGAGGCTTTGGGGAAAGAAAGGGCAGGCTTCCCAAGCTGGTCTGAAATGATTTGAGGATAAGGAGACTGGCTTGAGGCTTTTTGGTAGTTAAAGGATAGTCGATTAGTCTTATATGTAAATCTTTTGGAAAAGAGGACAAGCAAGAGGCCTAAAGGGAAAAAATATATATTCTTTGATGTTATGGATTCAAATTAAATAAAGACCATTACTGCAGATGAAACAAGTTCAGTTCTTTTACAAGTCTAATACCTTAAACGAGGACAAAATCTTTTTCTTTACTCTTTGCAGAAGTGCTAGCCCCATAGAGAAGAGCCATATAGTCACATTTGAGATTATATAATCCTAAATTGCAATGAAGCCTCAGACTTCAGTTTTGATGTTTGAGTGCTGACGGCTTTAAGCTTCATCGCTCACCCCTCACCCTGCCCCTCTGCCTGACGTCTGGGCAACCTGATAGGAGAGCCCGGTGCTCCATCCCTCTGGCAACAGCAGGAGGTTCAAGTCACACAAGCCCCTACCTGTGGGTAGAATCAAACCGAGGTAGCTGAAGAATCTTGTCCATTTTTATGTATCAACGGTTGGATACAGTGCGAGCTTCTTGAATCCCCAACTTTTAGCAAGGGTCTGATATATAGTTGGTTCTCAGAAATGTTTAAGTTGATTTTTAAAAAATGAATACTGACTTTATTGCTTTTAAAAAGTGATACATAGTTATATAGCATCCAAACTGTACAGAAAAGTGCTGACGGTAAGATTAAAAAATCACCCCAAATCCCACCACTCAGATACTTTAATCATTAACATTAGATAAAATATCAGAACATCATTCCATACAGTTGCAAACTGTATGTGGAAAGACAGGTTTGATAGGTTAGATAGATGAATTTAAGTAATTTTGTAAAAATGGTATCATCGTACAATCTACTTTTTTAGTGTTAAATTTAATTTTTAATTTAATAACCTGAAAGTGAATTTGAGGGAATTGTAGAACTTTAGATAATTTTTTCTATCACAAACAATATCATTTTTCTGGGTTAAGAAAAAATTATGAAAAACTAAGAGGTTATCACCTTTACACTATGTTTTCATTTTTAATAATGTTATTCACTGTCCACTCCAGACATTCTTACATTTTCTACTTCGTTCTCTTTTTTTATTAGCTGTATTATTATTTTTATATTGTTAGGATTTAGAAAATTTATATTTTGTTTTGTAACCCTAATTTTTCACTTGTTCAGTCATATATTTAAATGAAAGTTATTATCAGTCTATTAACATTTTCTCTGTACATGAATTCGTAATTTTGACTAAGTTTTTAGTTGTCTGGATTTCATCGTTGAAACTGATTTCATCAGTTTTTTTCAAGAAAGGCTCATAGTTGCTGATTGCCTTAAGTTCTAGAATGTTTAAAAATGCCCGTGGTGTCATTGCTCTGATGGTTGTACTGACTTTTATGAAGTATTTAAAAATATATACCTTTAAATTGTTAGGTGTACTTTGAGATTCTTGATACACTGGACACATTTTTGTATATTTAATATTAGAATGAAGAGTATGTACCATTGCCCACTTTATTGGCAGGGGGTGTTAAACTACAAGAGAAACCAAGTTCTCAGTGACAGTATTGTCATTTATTGGACTTATTACATGCAGAGCCATAAGGAAAAGAATATTGTCATACCTCACTTCCCTCTGGGGCCTTGTTGACTCAGAAAGTATGTAACTGAACTGTAGATTCTTTCAAGTATACAGATTTAAGAAATAATATGATTGTTGTACACTTAGGCCTGGTATGTTATGTGTCAATTATATCTCAATAAAACAGAAGGATAAAAAGAAATAACATGAGAAATTTCTTGGAGGACTAGAGAAGAAGGAATACAGAAGGAAAAGGAAGGGAATTAACATTTAAAAAGTACCTCCACATGAGGTGTTCATTTGTCCTAGGTCATTACATATTATTGTTCATTTGTCATGACAACCGTGCCTGGTAGATATTACAGAGACCTCATTTTTAGATGTAGAAGGCTCTTACTAGGTAAAATGATTTACCCAAAGTTCATCTGTTCATTGACTCGGCAAATGTTTACTGACAGTAAGACATAGTTCTTGGCCTCAAGTAGAAGAGTTGGGGAGATAAACGAGAAATTCAGCAACCAGCAAAGAGTTGGGCCTGCCGTGGTTCAGTCAGTAGGTGTGTTTCTTCAAAGGTCTGAAGCAAGAGAGCATTGGGTCAGTGCTGAGACTGTGGATAATGTGAGTAGTACAGCTAGACATTGTGCTAAATGTTTAACATGTTTTATTTTACTTAATCCTTAAAACTTTAGGAAGCAAGTCTAATTATCTCCATTTGTTCAGATGAAGAATCTGAGGCTTGGAGACAAACTAATTTGCCAGTGACACCCAGTGAGCAGTAGGCAAAGACATGATTTGACTCCAGGCTGTCTGTCTGGCTTCAAAGCTGGTGTGTGTGATTGGTTAGCACTGGCAGAAATAAGGAGGGGGAGAGGTAAGGGTGAGGGGGACCCAGGTCATAAGGGATCTGGTGCGCCTTGCCGTGGAGTTTGGACTTCATCCTGGAGTCAGTGGGAGAGTTAAGCAGGAGAGTGGCATGATGGGGTTTATATTTTGGGAAGATGGTTTTGGCTTCTTGGGTGGAAGGGGGAAAGGGAGAGCAGGGTCTAGTAAGAGTTGTCACATAGCCAGCCAGTGATGGAATTAGGGTTTGAGCTTAGGTCTGTTTGAAGTCCAGCCTCTTCCTGCTTTGTACCTGGAAGTTCCCTAAGAACTGTTCAGGTTCTAGATACAGAGAGGTTAAGTGTCAGGGTGAGGAGGGGATGGGTGGGGCTCAGTTCACCTTTTCAGAGAACTCTGGTCTCTGGGGGCCATTGCTGTTTCATACATGGGGCCTCAAATTTTCTTGTATCCTTCACTTTTATTACTTGGTATATGTAGAATATCGGTGAGTTCATTATAACTATTTATTTCTATTTGACCATTAGCTAGCTCTTTCCTGCAAGACTGGCCTTCAGGTTTTTGTTTTGTTTTGTTTTGTTTTGTTTTTTTTGGGGGTGGGGAGAGGAGAGAGCTGATAAATTACGAAAGAAAAGTGGTGAT